ATGAAATAGTGTAAGGATAGAACATAGAATCCTAGAGCTGGAAGGGACCTCAGTGGTCGTCTAGTCCAACCCTCTGCTCCAGCAGGAGACTCTATACCATCTCAGACAAGTGGCTATCCAATCTCTTTTCAAAAGCCTCCAGTGATGGAGCAACCACAACTCTTGGAGGGAAACTGTTCCATTCATTAATTGTTCTAAACTGTCTAGGGAATTCCTCCTTAGTTCCAGGTTGCTTCTCTCCTTGGTTAGTTTCCCTCTGTTGCTTCTTGTCCTGCCTCCTGGTGCTTTGAGGTGAGCCCTCTCTGCTCGGTGGCAGCCCCTGAAATATTGGAACACTCTTACCACGTCTCCCCTAGTCTTCCCTTGGTTAGATATATTCAGTTTCTGCAACTGTTCTCCCTGTGTTTTGCCTTCCAGCTCTTCTCTGCACTCTTTCTCTTGGATATTCTCCGTCATCCAGGTCCTGTTTGTCCCAAATATGTTTCTTCCAGAGGCAACTTCTTGTTTTTCTTTCAAGACATTTTGCTTCTCATCCAAGAAGCCTCCTCAGCTCTCCCTCTTGAAAAAACACCTTTGGGATTTTCTAGTCTCAACATCTTTTTTTGTATCATGGTGACTGGATGGAATATTCTTAAGTGTGGTCTTACCAAGCCAGTATAAAGCGGTGATCTTGATTCTTCTATCCCTCTGTTGATGCAGGCTAGGATTGCATTAGCTTTTTTGGTGGCTTCAGCACATGGCTGGCTCACACTTAAGTGGTTGTCCATCAGGACAGCTGGATGCTTCTCATAGTTACTCCTCCTGAGCCAGGTATCGCCTATTCTGTACCAGCGCATTTGGTTTTTCCTGCCTAAGTGCAAGACCTCACTTTTCTCACCTCTGAATTGCTTCTTGCTGGGTAGAGCTAATGTTCAAGTCTGTCAAGATCCTTCTAGGTCTTAAGTCTGTCTTCTGAAGCAATTTTTTGTCTAGACCTCTTCACATTGACTTCTATTAATGTATGTTTCTAGGTGCTGATAAACCCTCCACCTAATTTTCTTTTCCAGGATTTTCCCAGGTCTTGATGTCAAGCTGCTTGACGTATAATTTCCTGGATCTGTTTCCCTCTCCTTTTTGTAGATTAGAATCACATCATTATTTTTCCCGGTCCTCCGGTCCCCCTTTTTGCAATCATTTTTTTTCCCCCAATTGCTACCAAACTTGGTCTCTGAAAAAGGCAGATTAGAAGAAGGGTAGATGCTTTCAAACTGGGATGCTGGAGGCGACTATGGCACATCCCATGGATTGCAAAAAATCACGAACAGGGAAGAGCAAACCTCGCCAAAAATATCACTGCCTGGAAGCCAAGAGCCCCAAAGAAAGTCTCCCATACATTGCCCATGTCATGCAAGCTACCTCTCTTGAAAAGTCAATCATGCCAGGAGCGACTGGTGAAAAAATGGATGAATGACCTATTGGGATACCCCTATCAAAATAACTTACCTTATATCTGGCCAGAACTTGAAAATAACATTTAAAGTAGCACAGTATTTAAACAAAATGATTCAGTTGAGATCTGCATATGTGGGATTGATTGGGGTAGATTGCAAGGGCGACTCTGAAATATAAAGCTATTATATTTTATCTATATCTTAAATTATTGTACATTATTACAATTTTATTTGGGGTTGTATTTTATTGCTATTTCATCTTAAATCGTATTTTGTCTAGATTCCATTTTAAATTATATTTTATCAAGTTTCATTTTAAATAGTATTTTATCGAATTTCATTTTGAATTGCTTTTATTAAATTTTTGTAACAAATTGTTGCTGGAACTTTGCACTTTGATATGGCCCAAGGGCTAATCGATAAAGACTCATTATTGAGAAGGCTGGATGCCTGGATGCCACAAGATGATAGTGGGATGATCATGGCAGATCTGAAAGAGGCGGTGCAAGACAGGCAGGGCATGGAGAGTGCTGAAAAGAGCAACTCTCAAATGCTATAATTCATTTTTAAATCTATATACTTTTTTTTAAAAAGCCCGCATTCCCATATCCCATACAGAGTGGTGCAGTGGCCTAGAGTTGGAGCTCTCACCTCACAATCTGGAGGATTGTGAGTTTGATCCTAGGTAGAGGCAGATATTTCTCTCTCTGGGCACACTGAGAATACCTCTGCTGCAAAAAACTCTGCACTGGCAACAGGAAGGGCATCCGGCCAGTAAAAACACTCTGCTAGCTCCGTTCAGTTGCCTAGACTCCACTTTGCAAGGGATTATGGGGTTGCTAAATGATGATGATGGTGATGATGACCAGATTGCATACTCTACTAAATGTTTTCCTTCCCTTTGATTGTTCTAATAGATAATTTTAGACGACTGACATGTTCCCCTATTTAAATTATTTCTGCATTTAAACCCTACCCCAGTACTTGCCTAAGTATAAGATTTTGGTTTTTTATTTTGTCCTTTGCATGACATGCTGCCATCCTCCTTCCCTTCTATCTCCCTTTCTGATTTTAATAGATGTTTGTCACCTTCACCATAATCACTTCTGATTGTGACTATAGCCCAGGCAGTGGAGAAACACAGCCACCTTCAGTTTCCGCCAGATGCTCTAGCTTGCAATTCAAACACTTTATGGCAGGGGTCGCCAACCTTTTGGACCTCAGGGACCATCAAACTCATAATTTTAAATCCCAGGGATCACTAACCGGTTCTGTGGGTGTGGCCTAATTTGTGGGTGTGGTTTGGTGGTCATATGACTGGCTGGGCATGGCTCATATGTAAATATTATAAATATTTATATAAATATTGAATTTTTCATAAAAAAGAGCAACTTTTACCCAAAATCAGGCAAAGAAGGCAGGCAGATTGAGTTGCTCACAGAATCACAGATTCATTCAGAGATCTATCTGCCATCGGCTAGCTCAGTCTGTCACATAAAATTTGCTTGCAAGCAAACTCATAAAATTTGCTAGCAAGCAAACTCACAAAATTAACTCACAACACACCATGTATGTAAATATGGATTTTTTTATTTAAAAACAGCAACTTTTACCCAAAACCAGGCAAAGCAGACAGGCAGATTGAGTTGCTCACAGAATCATTCAGTGATCTATCTATCTGCTATCGGCTAGCTCAGTCTCTCAAATATACTTGCCTCTGCACTGAATAATAAAACCTTCAGTCCTAAGGGAGGTTCGGCTGTGCTTAAAAGCAGAGCTGAAGACATAAAGACTAGCTAGAAAGCAAGAAATGCAACCATTTTCTGCTTCCTAGCTCAGGGGTCTCCAACCTTGGCCGCTTTAAGACTTGTGGACTTCAACTCCAGAATTCCTCAGCTAGCAAAGTGGCCAAGGTTGGAGACCCCTGTTCTAGCTAATCTAAATCTCCCGGCACAGCAGAACAGCTGATGATCGGAAAAAGGAAAAATAGCAACTTAGCAGGCATGTTGGATGGGTAAGGAGTGAGTGGGCGGGAAGGATTTCCATGGGCCATGTGGGCTGAGCAGCCTTGTGTTTCTGTGAAGCCTGGATTAATTGCTTTGTGTGGGGAGGGGTTGCTCTGGGGGTGACATTTCTCTGCAGACCACCAAAATTTTCTCACAGTCCACCAGTGGGCCGTAGCCCACCGGTTGGCGACCGATGCTCTGTGGTAAGAAAGCAGGGAGGTTGCAAACGATACATAAATAAGAAACACAAAAAGTTCACACACATCTTGCCACCTCACTTATAAATACAGGTGGCCCTTGGCTGACAATGGTTCATTTAGTGACCATTCAAAGTTACAATGGCACTGAAAAAGGTGACTTGTGACCATTTTTCACACTTAAACAATCACGTCGTCAAAATTTAGACAGTTGGCAACTGACTTACATTTATGACAGTTGCAGCGTCCCAGAGTCAGGCGTCCACAGTCAATGGGGAAAGCCAGATTCACTTAACAACTGTGGCAAGAAAGTTCTCAAAATGGGGCAAGACTCACTTAACAAATGTCTCACTTAGCAGCATAATTTTCGGCTCAATTGCAGTCGTACATTGAGGACAACCTGTAAGCGCAAGAACATCCAAACCTTTTAACTATTTTTAAAACACAAATAATCCGAATCACCTTCGAAACCATGCCATTTGGGCATTTATTGGCAGTCCTCGGCTTATGGCCATTCATTTAACTGCGGTTTGAAATTGACAAAAGTGACTTGTAACCCATCCTCAAAAATGACAACTGTGGTCATGTGATCACAATTTGGGCCTTTGGCAACTGCGTTTATGTTCACTGCAGCATGCTGTGTCCCTTAATCACAATTTGTGACCTTCCCAAATGGCCTCCGACAAGCAAACTCAATGGAGGAAATCAGATTCACTTAACAACCACAGTCAAAGTGATCTTAAAAGTGTCCCGTTTTGGGATGATTTGCTTAGCCACCACACTGCTTGGTGACCAAAATTCTGGTCCCAGTTGCCGACGTAAATCAAAGACTCGCTGGTAATCTGAACATCACGCTTGAGATGTGTATACCAGTTAGTCCTCGACTTACAACTGCCACGGAGCCCAGAATTCCCAGCTGCTGAGAAATTTGTTAAGTGAGTTTTGTCTCATTTTATGACTTTTCTTGCCACTGTTGTTAAGGGAATCCCTGCAGTTGTCCAATTAGTAAGATGGTCATTAAGTGAATCTGGTTTCCCCACTCGCTTTGTTGGCAGAAAAAGGGGATCACGTGGCTCCAGGGCACCGTGACCGTCATAAATCTGAGTCAGTTGCCAAGCATCGGAATGCAAATCCTGTGAGAGCGGTGGGGCACTATAACGGTCGTATGTTGAGGTATCCCCATGCTCTTGTAAGTGATGAAAAATGGCCATAAGTCACTTGGTTCCATGTCACTGTAACTTTGAATACTCACTAAGCGAAATGTTCTAAGTCAAGAACCCAAAGCTAAGATCCAGATAAATTTCAACACCACACATTTGTTGAATCAAAAGTTTATTTCCAGCATTTTTGGTGTCCAGCATTTAAAAAAAAGTATAAGAATATCATAATATTAATAAAAGCAAATAATGGTAAGAGAGAGAGAGTCCTAGCTGGAGTAATTTCAGCAAATCTAACTCCCTCCCTAAGGAAGAGAGGTTTAGCAATCGTCCTTCAGCACAAACTTCCTTGACAGAGAGAATGCACTATGGCTATTTTATCTGCTACACAATTAAATGCAGGAGTTGGGTTCTTGTTCAAATTTGGCCTCTGGATCAGCGTTTCTCAACCATGGCAGCTTTAAGTTGGGTGGATTTCAACTCCCAGAATTCCCCAGCCATCTTTCTGGGAGTTGAAGTCCACCCATCTTAAAGTTGCCAAGGTTGGGAACGACTGACTTTTGGAGGACAGAAATGAAATCCACTTCTTAACCCCTGTCCTTAAACTCATAACTACCTCAAACTGAATTTGAGTGACAAGATATCAGCCTGAAAAAATTAGGCACACTACGGAATTAAGTCCTTTTGTACCAGAACTCAAGGCTCCAGTTCTTAAAAACGATGAAAATATTCTGAATAGAAGGCTGGAAGCACCGCCTTTTTAAATAGCAACTGTTTTTTTAAAAAAAATATGTAAAGGCAAACTATTATTTTATACACATACATATATTTATATATATTAACAAAATAACCACTGAAAAAAAATCACACTTAATTACAAAGATCCACTGGGAACATTTACAGCACTCCTGTAAAAGGCAAAGTCCGTAAGCCACGATCAGACCAGGAAGGAAGAAGTTTGTTTAAAGTCACCCTGAAACAAAATCAAGAGGAGGAAAATTTGCTTTGGTGTAACAGAGAATAATAAAGCAGAAAAAGGTTGTGTGAATGGAGAAGCCAAAAAGTTTGGAAAACAGATATATCCCTGATATGACCTTCCCAGCTAGCTTCCAACATGCAAAGTTAATTGGAGAAGCTGGATTCACTTAATGACTACATGATTCACTTAACACCCATGAGATTTGCTTGATGAGTGCAGTACACATGGTTGTAAAATCTGATCTGGTCACGGGGTGACTAGCTTCATGACCATCTTTATTTATTTATTAAATTTATACCCTTGCCCATCTTGCATCATTTGGTGACTGAAATGCTGATCCCCATTGTGGTTGTTAGGTGAGGACCAGCTGTATTTCCATTGTCCAGAATAATATTTCTCTAAAATTCTGCCTTAAGAGGAAAGTATTTCTGGACCTTGGTCCCAATTCAGATAACTTCAGAATCTTTAAAAGCACAAAATTATCTGAGTTCTAAAGACATCATTTTTCTAAAAACTGAGAATTATAAGCCCTGCAAAAGGCATTAAATCCCATTAAATCACTCTTTCATTAAAACCAAAATCCCTGGGGAATGAAGCAGACGAGTTTCTGCTTCTACTTACGTCGCTTCGGTTGGAAGGCTGGCTGTAAATGACCTTCTTACTGGTACTTCTGGAAAAGATTGGAGAAGGGGAAGATGAGAGATTAGGAGAGCGTTTCCCAACCTTGGCAACTTTCAGATGGGTGGACTTCAACCCCCAGAATTCCCTGGCCAGCATGCTTTAAGACTGATAGACTACAATTCCCAGAATTCCCTGGCCAGCATGCTTTAAGATGGGTAGATGTCAAATCCCAAATGTCTTCTTCAACTGAAGAGTTCAAAGACATGCTGGAAATGGTCCACTGGAGGATTCTGGGAATTTACATCCCATAATTCCCAGGGGCTGAAAGCCAGGGAACACTGATTTACTGTTTGAATGTTGGTTTTGATCAGTTTTGTTTCATGGCTTTTCATTTACTGTACAGGTAGTCCTTGAGCTACAACCACAATAGGGCCTGGAAAATGGATCACTAAGCAGTGAGGTTGTTAAGCGAGACATTGCCAGCTTCTCCATTGACTTCACAAATGGCGTTCACAGCACTCCCAGGATGGTGTACCATCACCAAATGTCAATCACATGGCCACGTTATAAGCTTGTAACCGCGAGAATCAGGTACAAACAGTCACTAAACAAATCATCGTAACTCGATGACTACCTGTACTTTGCTTTTTTTTTTAATGAACTGGTGTTTCCCACTTTTTTATCAGCAGAATAAATCCCGTAACCCAGAGAGAAAGTGGCCATGCCAGGACCAACTGTGCCCCTTCCCTCATCTACCCCGAAAAGGGAACCTCACGGCAGGACTGGCAGTTACGCGGCAAAGAACGGTGGGCAGGAAGGAAGAAATGGCTACTCACGTTGTTCTTTCTGGAAAAAAAAGAGAGACAAATAATCAGTTAGCCAAGAAAGGAGGTGATTGCATCTCTCTTGCACAATTGTTGAGCCACCAAAATTCAAGTTCTTTTGGCCTTTCCTCCAACTGGATCAGCCCTCCTGGGACCCTATATTTTGTGGAAGGGTGGACTCCAGCTCCCAGAATTCCCCAGCCAGAATAGTTTGAGTGGAGTATAGGGAGTCCTCAACTTACAGCCACAATGGAGCCCCAAATTTCGATTGCTAAGCGAGACAGATGGATTTTGCCCTGTTTTAAGACCATTCTGGCCACACAAGTTAAGCGACCTATCCTGCCGGCTTCTGATGAGCAAAGTGAATGAGGGATTCACTTTATGACTATGCGATGCACTTAGCAACTGCAGGGATACACTTAATGACCAGTGATTCACTTAGTGGCTACAGTGATTCACTTAACTGCCGTAATTCACTTAATGACTGCAGTGACTCACTTAACAACTGCAGTGATGCACTTAATGACCACAGTGATGCACTCATTAAAAAGGTCACTTAACAGCCGCCTTGCTTAGCAGTGGAAATTCTGGTTCCAATTGTGGTCGTAAGTCAAGGACTACCTAGCTTGCTAAGACAATCTTGCTGGCTACTAAACTCCATCAAGATCCCAAATTTTAGAAAACCTGCTTTTGAGTCTTCATTCTCCTCTGATGCCCACACAGCCTAGGAGGGCTGGGGTTATTAAAGAAACAGGACTAGAAAATCGTCCCCAAAATTATAATTTTCCTGCTCTGTGAAAACAAGAAGGATGCAACTGGCCACTTACTGCTGAAATAGCCCCGATTGTAACCGAACCAAATGCCGAAAATGACCAGTCCCAGGATGATTAGGAGAACTACCACGGCCGCCACGATCCCACCCACATTGAGTTTACCTGCAGAGCAATAAAAATGGTTAGAAAGATCCAATGCGTACTTGAGAATTAATTACAAGAATTTCTAGGGTGTCAAGATTGAACCGCTTTGCCTCTTTCAACCCTAAACGCTTTTTGACTTACCAATGAACTGGGAGGGGGGATGGAAGGGGGAAATAGAAAGCTGAGAATGTGTGCGTGGACCGTGAGAGCCTGTGCAACTATCAAGGCCACTGCTGCAGGTGCTTGAGAAAGAGACGGACTGTTCCCATAGCCAAAAGTCGTCTCATGATTGGACAATGTGACCGCTCGGGCGGGGAAAAAGGGAAGCCGTTGTTTAACTAGGCAAGCATTTGCGTGGGAAGAAACCAGTGCTGGTTTTGATTGTTCAGTACCAAAATAGTGTATCCAATGAAGTTTTACTTTTGCGATTTTAAAACTGCCAAGTATGTTTCCTTCTTTTGGATTCGCTGGTTGGGTAGTTGACAAATACATTTCTATAAAGCAGAAAAACACCAGCATGCTATTGATCCATGTTCATTCAGTTTTTGCCCAATTATGGCCAATAAAAGTGAATAAAATTAATACCCAAGAGTTTCATTTTTATGACTTACTCCATTTTCTGAGCATTCCAGATAGAATCCCACTTCAAGCAGAAACCAAATTCAACAGGTAATCCTCAACTTACGATCATAACTGAGCCCAAAATGTATGTTGCTAAAGAAACTTCTCACATGAGTTTTGCCCCATTTTACAACCTCTCTTGCCACTGTTGTTAAGCAAATCACTGCCATTGATAAATTAGTAATATAGTTGTTAAGTGAATCTTACTTCCCCGTTGATTTCGATTGCCAGAAGGTCGCAAAAGGGGATAACATGACCCCCCTGGCAACTGTCATAAATGTGAGTCGGTGGTCAAGTATCCTAATGTAAATCACATGACCATGGGGATGCCGCCGCGGTCATAAGGGTGAAAAACAGTCATAAGTCACTTTTTTCAGTGTTTGATTTTTTATTGACATTTTAATTTATTCAAAGGAGGTTAAAAAACAAAATGCCGAAATATTTTCAAAAGGAAAAAAAAATAAAAAACACACAAGATGATATTAAAAAGGAAGTGTCAAAAAAAGAACTTGACCCTCACATGACCATTGGAGATGCTGCCAATGGTGAAAACTGGTCATGTCACTTTTTTCAGTGCCATCGTAACTTTGAACCATCATCAAGGACTACTTGTACTCTGCAAAAGTAGGACTTCCCACCAAGCCCTTTGCGTTCTTTGCAAAACTACAATTGGACAGCTGGGGTTGAAGAGACAACAGAGCGTGCCACCCCAAAGAGCTGGTGCCCGCAGGAGAGATGCCAAGCTTACTGGTCACTTACTGGTTTCCATGTGAATCACCTCCGACCGCTGGGGGGGCCCCACCTTGTTCTGGGCTTCGCAGAAATAGTCGCCCGCGTCCAGGGCTGTGGCGGGCTCAAAGGCCTGAAGGGAAGAGGAAAGGAGTTCAGTTCTCAGCCAAGGCAGAGCCAGCCATGGTTCTCAAACTCTCTCTGAGGTTCCTGTTCTGCAAAAACCGGAGCCAGGCAAGGGGAGAAAAACCCTTTCTGAGAAAAACTGCTCAAATACAGGCAGTCCTTGGGTTAAGACCATTGGAATCGAAACAGGAACAAGAACAGAATCAAATAGAATATACTGTAGAATAGAAAACAGAAAAGAATAGAACAGAAGATAAGGATAGGATAGAAGAGAACCGAAGATTAAAATAGAAGATAATAGAATAGGAATACAGTAGAATAGAACAGAAGACAATAGAATAGGAATAGAATAGAAAATAGAATAGAACAGGAGAGAATATAGAATATAGACTAGACTAGAACAGAACAGAATATAGAATAGAATTACCACAGAAGTAGAATATAGACTAGAAATAACAAATAGAAAATAGAATAAGATAGGATAGAATATGGAATAGAATTAGAATAGAAAGAAATAGAAAATAGAATAGAATATAGACTAGAAATATAGAAGATAGGATCGGATTGGATAGAGACTTGAATAAGAATGTTTTATTTCGCCAAGTGTGATTGGGCACATAACGTAAGAAATTGTCTGCTTACCTGTGAAGGTAAGCCAGCCCACCCAACCCATACCAAGTACCTGGCGGGAGTGAAGCATGCTGCTTGAAGCCCCCCCCCCCCCCCCCCCCCCGGTGATAAATACAGCTTAAAGTCCATAACATACAGGAACATACCAGCACGCCTGTGTCCGAGTCGATGGTGTAGGATGAATTCTTGAAGATGGTGCTGGTTTTGGGATCGGGGGGCATCTGGACATTGTTCTTGAACCATTTGAAAGTTGGACGGGGGTTGGCGTCAGTCTCCTCACATCTCAGGACTACCTTGTTTCCAATGGTCACCACTGAAGGAACGTGGGCAGTGGGCTTGGCGGCGGGCACTGCCCAAGAAGAGAGGGGGCTCACAGGTTAGGATGCCAATTTGGATGGCATGAACTGAGGACAATTAACCAGTGGAACAGCTTGCCACCAGGAATGGTGGGCACTCAAATCACTGGAGGTTTTTAAGAAGAGACTGGATGCTCACTTATTGGAAATGGTATAGGGTCTCCTGCTTGAGCAGGGGGCTGGACTAGAAGACCTCCAAGGTCCCTTCCAGCTTCTATTCTATTCTATTCTATTCTATTCTATTCTATTCTATTCTATTCTATATTCTGTTCTATTCTATTCATTCTTTCCCTGT